TAGTTTTGTTATTTATTAAAGGAAAGGTTTCAGGATCTTTGGTCCAATTTTTTGTCCATTAATTTTTTCGTCCAATGTATTTTATCCACGGTTTTTTGCCCTCGAAATTTCATCCGAATGAAATTCGTCCAAGTACATAGTTAGTCACATGCTTTCTCTCTTTCGACAGGGTTTTGGACCTACATTTTGAACCTTACTGGACAACAAAAATATGACCTAAAAACGCTGGACCAATGAAAGTGTAGGACTAACTATTTAGTAAGCTGCATTTCAGTTGGACAATATTCTGAGGGCGAAAAACCGTAAATAAAATGAATGGAGAAATTGCATGCAAATTTTTTATTGCTTCATCTGAAAGTGCTTAAGAGCTGATTTCACAGTATCTTCTATACTTTTTTTCTGATATGAGAAATACTATTAAAATACGAGTATATTTAAAGTGAGAAAATGCACCGCCTAATGACATCATCTCGCGGAATTTCCCATTTAAACACACGTATTTTAGCAGATTAGGTCATTTTGTCTTATCTTCTCCAATAATTGTTCAATTCATGAACCAAGAGTATCCTCGTATTCAGTTCACTTAGTAGTTACCACTTATCACGAAATTCATCAAATTTCAGACACCTGCAAATTCTTTGTTGGGTGAAAAACTTCATGGGAAAAAAAATTGGACCAACCTGGAACCGAAGGAGATATGGCAACATCTGAATTCTAATACGGCGTTGTACCTTAGAATGGCAGCTTTGGCGGCCGTTGCGGCCCTGGAAAGCCTCACGCCGAGGCCTTTGCAGCCTTTACGTGGCCGACGAGGTCTCAAAGGCGCGTCCCCGCGTGCGCTGATTAACGTCACGTCTGAAGTCGACGTACCTCTGAAGTAAACGCGCATTCACATTTTAGAGTGGACCTTGTTTTCCATATCACTCCATGCTTTTCAGAGCTCCTACGAGTGTAAAGTTACGCCTTTACGCGAGCATTTCGACGAAATGACGTAGATTTTTCCATTACCCGATCGATCACGAACTGCATCGACACGGCATCTCCTCTCACGCGCATCGGACGTCGCGTCTGGCTCCATCTCGGTGACAGTTTTCTGGTCTGCCAGTTCAAAAAATGTCACCGTCCTGAAAAATTCATCGTCTCTGTTTTTGTCTCGTTGATTGGAATCTTGCGTGCTTTATTGTTTTCCTTGTCTGTTTTTGTCTGAGCGCAAGGATGCGGCTACGACGCGCGGTTGGGTATTTGGTAGTGCAGTTCTTCGTCTTGGCACTACTTGTAGAGGTAACTTGATGACATTTAAAAAGATTTGAGAGGGTTTTCTGTTCAATGAATTTTAAAATTTCCTGAGTTTCCCTGGTGGTTCACTGACTGGTTCCGATATTATCTGACACACGTGAAAATGCAAAAAACTCCTGCATCAAATTGAAGCTATTATATGAATATTAACGTTAATTCTAGATTCTGACGATGTCGAAATTTTTTTCACTCAAAACTAGTTTTATTTCAGTTCTTTAAGATTTGAGTAAATGAGCAAGTAGTAATCGCCATATCATAATTGAATGGAACTTAGTAGAAAAGCTCTTTCTCCATCGTAAGTTTCGAAAAAAGAACTACGTGCTTACTGTTTATGTTCAAAACGCACGATATATGTATGCTAGGTAGGAACGCATATGAAGAACCACGGAACGTTCATTAAAATTAAAAGTTTCTTTAATTTTTTTTTAAAATGTGCCTAATAGCACTTAAATTAACCATTTTGCAGTATGGATCTATCTGCAATAATACCATGAAGTAAAAACGTTCTTTTTGCCTAACTGCACCGTTTAAGAGCACCGCACTCCAGCGGTTTTGCGCAGTGGAACGCAGGGCCATTATGATGCGGTCCTTTTTTCTGTGATGCCACACCGCTTATTAGCGGTTCTGCGTTTCCACTTATGAGCGATTCTGCGTTTCCGCTTATAAGTGATTATGCGTTTCCGCTTATAAGCGATTCTGCGTTTCCCCTTACCGGCTTACGGTTGTCCCTATATTCCGTATGCTCACACTAAAGGCACGTAGTTGGACGTGCTGGGTGCTGTTACTTAGACAAGACCTTCAATTTGACGATCAAGTTTAATCCTATCATTTGATTTACCTGTTATTCGTTCTTCTTGCATTCTCTAGGGTTCAAATGCAGCGAGAAAGAAATCAGATTCCAGGGCTAAAAATTATGAAATAAATCGAAATCCAAGTCGATCTGTCACTACGACTGTCGACTACGCAAAATATCTAGACGAGAAATATACCGCTCCTCCTTTACTGACGGTGGAACGATTGGCAAAAAGAGGCTTGTTAGATGCATACAACGATCCAGATTTAAAAGCTTTGGAGAAACGAACAGAGGAATCTTACAGGCAGAAAAAGAACCTCAACGCGGACGAAGAGATAGACGTCTATGATGCTGAGTTCCTTGAGACTTTGCAAAAGCAAGTCAAGTTATCAAAAAGCGAATCCAAGACGACCTCCGATGAGTCGGAGAATCGTCTAGAAACTAGAGGATTGTTATTACGTATGGTATTTGGAGGCTCACCATGGGGAACCAATCCCAATAAAAATGAACCAAAAGGGGTTGATGCTTCGCAAGGACAAGCCGATCCCACATCTAAAAATGAGCCAGGAAAGACGCAATCTCCTTGGAGCTGCCGCTCCTTGTTTTCAAAAATATGGTCCTTTTATTCAAGACCAAAGCCAGCAGAAACAACCAAGCCAGCAGAAATAACAAAGCGAGATCTTGATGGAAGTAGATGGTTCAGCGACAAATTCTCAGGCAGACAAGCTGACGCTACCTCGAATCAACAGGAACAACAATTGGCAACAAGAGGACTTTTAGACGGTATTTGGGGGAGTCCAGCACCAAAAGCAAAACCAGCGGAAGAAGATGGACAAGCGCAAGGACAAGTTGAAGTCACATCTAAAAATGAGCCCGAAAAGACGCAGTCTTCTCGAGGCTGTCGCTCCTGGTTTTCAAAATTATGGCCCTTCCATTCAAGACCAAAGCCAGCAGAAACAACCAAGCCAGCAGAAATAACTAAGCCAGCAGAAATAACTAAGCCAGCAGAAATAACTATACCAGCAGAAATAACTAAGCCAGAGGCAACCAAGCGAGATAATGAAGGAAGTAGATGGTTCAGCAACAAATTCTCAGCCAGACAAAATGAAGCAACTTCGAATCAACAGGAGCAAAAACTGACAACGAGAGGAATTTTAGACGGTCTTTGGGGGAGTCCAGCACCAAAAGCCGCTGAGAAACCAGCCGCAACACCAGCGGCGGACGATGGTCAAGGGCAGGACCCACCAGCTGATGGAGATGTAGACCCGGGTCAAGGTGACTATTATTACGACGACCCTACGGCGGACCAAACCGGACTTCCGGCGTTCCAAGAACCGGAGCAAACCGGAAAACCAGAGCAAAAACCGGAGCAAACCGGAAAACCAGAGCAAAAACCGGAACAAACCGTAGCCCAGGACACAACGCCACCGGCGTCCCAGAACTGGTGGCAGCGAGCCTCGAGATGGGCATTGCCGTCACCGCAATCTGAGAAACCGCAAGAAAAAGCGCCTGAACAACAACAAAGCAAACCTCCCGCACCCGAAAAAGCGACTAAACCTGAGGATAACACTGGAGGAGGATGGTTGAATTGGGGAGCGCCGAAACCGAAAGCTCCTGAACAGAAGGCCGAGCCAAAGGACTATACCGCAGGTAATTAAACACCTCCGCAATGAGCGAGGTGAATGTAGCACAATCTGTATGCGGAAGTTATAAGAGTGACGTGTTGATTTTGACGTATAATGTTGCACTTTCTCCGAGAAACAAAGTTTTTTCAGAATAAATTTGACAAAATTTAAATGTCCATGAGGCGTCTTGCCTTAGCATGGCAGTCAAGTATTATTATGTGTGTTTTAAAATTGATCTATTTATATTTACTTTCCCGCCGTGGTTTGGAAAAACGCTGTGCGCACATTCAAACCATTCTGTATTTTTCACGATCAAATATTAATTTTCCATGAGAACTTTGCATGTTATTCCTTGAAATTATCACGTACTAGATTTAGTTCTAATCGGAGTTAAAATTTAAAACAAAAACAAAAACAAACAAAAAAACAGGAAAATTCAGATTTTATCATAGCCAATGGGGCAACGTCTGATGACTCTTGCAGAGTTCTTTCTTGACTTCGCACTTTATTGAAAGCAAAGAATGGCTGAAAGTTTACTGTCATAACGTATTCAAATAAAAAAGAACTATCTCACTTGTAACATGGGCTCTGACAAACATTTAGACAGTGCAAGTCCGCAATCACGTGTCTCATTTGCGGTATTTCAGAATCTCCGCTCCTAAATTTCAGTGTCGTGAAGGAGAACAGATTCACATCATTCCTACAGTTTTCGCTCAAGAACAATCTCGGCACTTTTTCAGAATTGCCGTTGAGTAGTTTTCCGTTTCAAAAAATAAAGCATGACAGGGAGTCTGTAAACAGAGATACGTGGTTGCGGACGTCGGCGGATCCAGCAATTTGGCAACACCGGATTTCCTGTATTTAAACCTGCATCGATTCTTGGAGGGGCCAGGTGCTCCGACAAGAATAGATTATTCAGCATAGGTTTAAATGTAGGAAATCCGGCGTTGTCAAGTTGCTGGATCCACCTCTGATTGCGGACTTACATCGTCGATTTATTTTTATAGGTCTTATGGCCTGGATTTCAATGAAGAGTTCGTTTTGATAGAAATAAGTTTATTTATAATTTCGCAGGTGCAAGTCAAAGCGGGTGGCTTTGGGGTTCCCCCGCCTCCCCCGAAACATCCTCCCGGGCACCTCCAGTTCCCGCCTCGGGATCCGGCTCATCCGGTGGTCTGCTCAGCTGGTTGAACGGCGGCGAAGACGAGAAACCCAAGAACTCACCACCGAAGCAACACGGACCCCTGCGCTCCCTCGTAAAAACCGTAGAGCACACGATAATGCCGTTCAAGGGCGTCCGGCGGGCTCTCAAATCCATCCCCGGCGTCCGCCCGACGCGGAAGACGATGAAGTCCACCCTGGACGCCGTGGACTCGGTCGTGGACACCGAGTACGTGCGCCACATCCGAACAGCGGCGGCCGAGAGCGGGAAGCGGGTGGGCGCCAAGGCCGTGGGCTTGGCCGACGCCGTCTGGGAGCTCGGCACCGGGACGACGGACACGACGCTCAACATGGTGGACACGCTGAGGAAGGAGTCGGCGCGGACGCTGGACTCGGTCACGGTCGCGTACCCGCCCACCCGCTCCGCCGTGGACTACGTCAAGACCAAGATGGCCGACGGCGTGGGCTTCCTCCAGGAGGAGAACGATCGGATCCGGAAGCAAGGGAAGGGTGTGTTGTCCAGGATCTCGGGTGGGGCCGTTGGTACGGCTCAGACAGAGGCTCCGACGCCGGCCAGTGGCGGGGGCTGGTGGAATTGGTGAGGGGGACGTTAAGATACACAGAAAAAAATGGATTGATGATTTAACAATTACATTTTTGAAATATATGTCCGACGAGTTTCAAATGTACATTTTACAAACGTGCCACATATCGCCTTCAATTGTTCGGTTATACTCAAACACCACACCGGATTTAATATAGTTGCTCACTCGAGAAATCATGAATTTACGTTTCTTCTACTCATCATGTTCGTAGCTTTCTTTACTTAACGCTGCGAGATATCGGTCTTTTCTCAACATTGAACCTTTTTCTTGCCCTACACTATTCTGATAAAAAACACGAGAAAAAATGAATTGCTGAGTTAACAATTAAATTGTTAAAAAATATGTCCGACATGTTTCAAAAGTACATTTCACAATAGTGAAAAGCTAATTTAACCACGGGTGTAGATAAATTAGCGTATAATTGTAAAATCTGCATTGAAACATGTCGGACACTTTTTCTAACAACAAAATTGTTAAAGCAGCAGGTCCATTTTTTTACCGTGTAGAGCACTGGATAATGATTTCAATGGTACGCAATATTATATTTATACATACATTTATCCTCGTGAGTCTTCGTTTAAAAAGCAAAACAGAAAACAAGGGCTAACGAACAAAACCGCTTAACTGACAATTTTGGGGAATATGAGTTATAGCGACTTTGCTGCATTCTTCAGCATAAAGTACTCAAGCTAATGATTTTTTCTTTCAATTTGCAGAAGAGAGCTGCAATGACGCTGTAATGTATGAAAAATTGCACATCTTACCTTAGATTACAAAAATGGCAAAGTTTCTTCTTTGTCATGCAAAATCGTCAGTTTGCAGATGAGTTGTATTGTTCGTCAGCCATCGAAAAAGATAGTACCCCTCTTTTGAACGATTAGTCAGACGATATTTAGTGACAAACTCGTGGCGCAAGTTTTGATTACTTAAATCGATACCTATGCGTTATCTGATACGGAAAACGGTCGTATGCACCACTCTCATGTATTATTTTTAATAAATATTTATAAAAAGCTGCACACAGTTTTACTGAGAAGTTTCCGCGAACTTACCTAAATGATCTCAAATAAATGAATCGAAAATTTCGACGCGATATTTTCGTTCATTCTATTTTCTTTTAAAGTAATAAAAAAAAAAAAAAAAAATATCATCCGAGTTTCTGAATCGTTGCAATGAGGATACATATTTTCCCTTTAACTATGGTAAAAACTGGAGTAGAAAGTCAAGAATGATGGCACGCAGTCCTTCAGCATTCCTGCAGTCTTGTAAGCGCTAATATACGTTTCACGCCAACTAACCGACCGCACTGCGTTTGATGCAATGCGAGAGGTATTCATGCCCTCTTATAGGCGCTAATACGGGCCTCGCACCGACCGCACTGTTTGGCGCAATGCGTGAAGTATTCCGGAAGCCTTGCAGGCGCTAATATACGTTTATCGTCGCGCCGGCCGCACTGTATTTGGCGCGATTATTCGAACCCGTGTTAGAATAATCGCGGCATCGATTAATGGTGCTTCAAAGGTCCATGTTGTGTTTCGACGCTGTATGAGCATTCCAACGTTGCCTCGTTTCTACCGATTGAATATTTTTTCCCGAGAAAAGTTGGGAAAATTCTTTATACCCGCGACCATTATTCAATCATCTCACTTCATTTATCATCAAATGGTAAGACATCGATAACTCGTCAACAAACTAACCTAAACTAGCGTTAACATAAAACAACGACATAAAAATGCGTTTAATTCCCAACTGCTTCCTGTTTTGCCAAACTTCTACCTTACATAAACTTCATTTTAAATTCGCGCATCCCTGTAGCAGATATTAAGGTTTCTATTCGCGCTATCCTCATTTATTTTCTTAGACCTTTCTCGCAATCTTGGATTACCGGCAGCGTGCGCTGTGCTCTTACTTGGCAGACAACCATTTTTCGTGTCAGTGCAGATTTGAGTGGTCAAAGCTCTTGTCACGATTTTGTCGCTAAAAGGACGGAGTTAAACAGAAAGGAACCAAGCCACATCGGGATCGAACCGAGAAAGAGAGGTTTAAAGTTTGGCTCCTGCATAAGACTCAATGTAAAAGATAAACTTCAAATTCAATTTCTGCAAAATTTGCTCCAACAAAAACTTTGAATTTTTGACGATAGATAGTAGAGCGGTGGTTGAGTTCAAAACCACTCATAACTCAATTTTTTCCAAAATGTGGGTTGGTTCCTTTCTGTTTAACTCAGTCCAAATATCGTCTGGCTTTCGGACTTGGTGATTCGATAATGATTTACGTTTCAGCTGTCAATATTGGGTCAGTATTTTAAATGTTTCAGGACAGAGACTTGACACTCGTGTCTAGAAATTTGACTTTTTTGAGAAGAGAGGAGCATTTTTCTTTACATTCGGATACATATAACGGCCTCCTAAAAGTACCTAGAAACAACCACTGATGTTACAAAAGAACGATGGTGTCGTTACACCTACAAAATCATCAGTCAAATTATCATTTCGTTGTAAAATTGTGAAATATATGAAAATAACATCGATGTAACAATGTTGTAAATTAAATAATTCAAACTTCCTCTTGTTCAAAAGCAAAAGGTTAATTAGACAAATTATAGAAAGTATAGAAAGAAAATCCTCGATTTTGATAATGAGCTCATGTCCCGGCAGAAGTATAACGATAGAACACAGTTGCCCCTTTCTTGTTTTTTAGTTTTGGAATGACAATGTCTACTGTAAGCAATGTAAAATTCAGTCTGTTCATGCCCAGTCTCCTCTATTATCGATAAAATTTTCAAAAGAAAAATTGACAAGTCTTCGCGGAGACTCTCGTTTCATCGGAGGGGATTCAGCAATATACTTGACGAATGCTATTATAGGGCATTTTCCCTCCATACAACAGTGAAAAACACTAGTGGTGAATGATCGATTAGCGATATTTTTCCGTTTGAAGCTATGGTATAGAATCGATTATTGAGGTGTTCGTTGCCAACATCCATCTTTATCGATCCTTTTCCGTAGATTTAAATGGCAGCTCAATCGATGAGTCGCAAAGCACGCCATGCCACTGTGATGCACATACACCTCAAATGGACTACATTTTGCAATTTGGACATATATATTCTAGCCCGGTCTAAAAACAACGTATGTGCCATTAGTTTCCTTATGCACATAAGTGTTTTTCCAGAAGAGCCAGAATTTATAGTTCCAAATTGCAAATTGCAGTCCAAATATATTGGAGAAATGCATCCAGAACGCTGATTATCGGTAAGAGGGCATAATCATCGGTTAGTATGAAGTCGGCATTTCTGCCGCGCTGAGGAAGAACGACGTAAGAGCCATTAGGCGTTGCCAAATTTCCTTCGACAAATCAGCAATTTTCCAGTAAATTCATGAATCTTCCTCCTTAAATTTTTCAGAGGATTTTATTTTTATCATTTTATTTAAAAAGTCTGAAAATTGCAAGGAAGAATATTCTTATCTTTCTTAAAAAATAAATATCTTCTGAGAGGAAATTTGGCAATATTTGAAAGCTCATACGGCGTTTTTACTGAGCGCGGCAGATTTCGGCACCGAAAATCCTGTTATTTAGTGCCGAGCGGGCTCCCCAAGGACTCGGCGAGCAATTGCGACGAACATTAACGATCGGGGATCCCGGACCGGCTAATTATCAGGTCGTATGAAATCGCATGCAGCACGCCCCGTCCCACTACGGTAAAACAGTCGCATCGCCCGATAAACACTTACCGCACACCCAGACGCGACGTCGCATCACAATTCGCAATTCGCAATCACGGCGGGACGAGAGCAAAGGTTCGCGGATGGCGTTTGATTTTCGCCGAGCGTGACGTCACGTCGCGTGAATCGAGGGTCGAATGTGCTGTCTACCAGGTGTAGTTTCAACGACGCCATTTCAGCTGAAGCTTGAAGGAGGGAAGAATGTAAGCACGCTTTAAAAATAGAAGAGTGAAAGTTGGTGCAGCGGGCCGATTGTTGAAATTGGTAGACAAAGCTATGGACAAAGAGGACATAAGGAGTATGAAGCGATCCTATTGGTTGAAATGGATGGTTGTTATAGATTCTGGGAGAAAATCATTGACTAACTAAAGGGTTTCTCATGGGGTGTGGTTAGTTAGTCTAGCATCTATTTCTTTTGTCCATTGCAACCACCCCCTGCTACCGATAGGATCCGTCCATGTCCGTTTTGTCTTATTTGTCAATAGCCTTGTCGATCAATATCAGCAATCAACCCGCTGGAGTCTACATAGCGCCCAAAAACCCCGAGTGATATGAATGCGAAGTGAAACGGGTTAGTTTAAACGCAAAAAAAAACCCTTGGCCGCCATCTTTAACGGCCGTCATCTTGGATTCTGCACGGAATTGAAAGTGGTTCTATGGGCAAAAACGACTAGTTTATCACCTAGTATGACCGCCCAAAGTGGCAATTTCCAATTTAAAGAAATCGTCAATTTTGATCGTGCCCAACGACGACGAAAATTGACGATTTTTTTAAATTGGAAATTGCCACTTTGGGTCACTTCCGCGGTAGATGACATGAACATATTTTTTCAAAGCGCAATACCTTGATTAATATTGCGAACGTAGAAAGTTGCTGTTTGGACGGATCCTATTATTATTAGCTGATCTACAAGAATGAAGCATTAATACACAATTCTATGACTAACGCAACTGACCTATTAGCGCCAGAAAAGCGAATGACTGTCCCAAAAGAGTAGATTTTGCTCCGTTATAGTGTAAATCACTCCGTAAGAAGCACACATCCAACGCTGCATTCATATAACTCGGGGTTTTTGACTATATACACTCCGGTACAGAATTTAATTCCAGAATTCTTCACAGTGCCAGATTCACACGTGGGGAAGAGAGGGACCAAACTTCGAAAAATCTCGAGAAAATTTGACGGAAATGCTATAAAACGACTTTAAGTTTCAACTTAAAGCAAGGCCAATTACTGAGTACATTGCGGAGGACAAGGCGCAGTGCAATTTTTGAAAAAAATCAATATCATGTAGTAATAATTTTAACTAAGACTAGTTTTAAGATATTTTAGGTCGAAAATGTATCACCAATATCCGATTTTTAAGCATTAAAAAGTGAATTTGTACTTCTTTTCTGCCATGAGGCTTTAATTTTATTTAGAAACTTTAAAAACTTACTTTCAGCAA